AATACTTCAGTTTCAACCAATATATGTTGGTCCAGTTCCAAAACTTGTTTTAAGTATATAAAATAAAATTAAGAAAGTCACTACTGAGAGGTGTCATTATTTAGTTACCAATCATCTTTTTATATATTTGGGTGTAATAATATTATTATTTGTTAGTTAGGACCACAAATATCTATCATAAGTGATAACTAGCCATATTAACATATATATATATATATATATATATATATATAATTGTAGGACTGACTTACTCTATCAGAAAATATATTTTATTAATAAATTTAAATCAAATAGTTTAATATTATAAATATTTTTACACTATTATGCAATTATGAAATGTTATACCAGTAAAAATTGTTATTTGTTTAATAATTATTATAAAAATTATATCTACAATGTATCCTAATTAGTTGGTATTGTACAAAATTTCTTACTGTAATTACACCAAAGGTAAATTATTTTTTAATATACAAATTTGTAATTTAAAAATTTATTAAAAAAATAGATAAGTACCGTTTAAATCAACTGCATGATAATAGTGTGAAAGTACTTCAACAAATAAAAATAGTAATAAACTGACAAAACAATTTAAGCGTATCTAAAAAAAGGGAGAAGGGTGGGGGAATTGATCAATCAATCAATTAATGTTAATTAAGCAAACATCTTCTTACCCAAGGAGTTGCAGATAATGCATAAGATTAAGGTATAGTTCACACCTTTGCAATACAATCCTAAAGTCTGTGTAGTCATACACTGCATATCCAAAAGTTGAAGTGTACTCAAATAATTAATAATCCAAGATGTGTAGGTAAGTCATGCAGTTGCCACCTCTTTTCGTCAAACCTCCCCTAGATAGGTCCAAGTAAACAAGCTACTGCTATAAAGTACAAAGGAAGCAATTTGGCAAATGGAGAACTTTTTCTTTACTTTTTAAGTGTTCTATAGCATATAAGTTAGGTGCCCTTTGGCTGTAATATATAACTGGAAGAAGAAGTAACTATACCACCAATTAAGACGTTCTAGTTTTTCTTTTCCTGAAAAAGTTTAACGTCAAGAATTGATGTTCATTATCGATCCACGTTGTTTAATGGACGCATCAGGATGTAAAATCTTTCCATTTGCCTTATATTATATTTCCTTTTCATCCCACTAGCTTTTCTATAAAAGTATTGTCTTCATTTGTTTGAATCCATCCATACAAGCAGCCACGAGGACATTCCAACTTGGAATTTTGAATTTCTTTCGTATTGACGATGCATGCTAGTTAGGATATGCATTAAGATAAACATAGTTTAATTAAGTATTTATTTAGTGATATGTTTTTATCGTGTGAAATATGTTTGACTTAAAGAACCTTTGTTAATAAGTTAAGGTGTTGTTAATCGATATTCTTATAACAGTGACTAAAGAATTAAAAGCAATAGTTTTTATTGAAATTTTAAATTATATTAATTAAAAAAATATGGGAGAAGGTGTATTTGTTATATTTTTGACAAAAAAAATACTCTTAATTCTTTAAAAAATGTCTTAAGGATACCAGTTAACATTTGTCAATAATCATATTTTATAATTTTATTAAAATAAATATAAACAAGCTTATAAGAATCATTCATTTTCTCATAAATTTAAACAAGTTTTCCATAAATTCATTTAAATACACTTTTAGTACTCAATTGACTGAGTTTAGAAAATGTTCATTTAAACTTTTCAAAAGAAATTTCACTTCAAGAGTGTATTAAGAATAAATATTAAGTTCATTATTTTTTTGTTTGTCCATAAATGAAAAATTAAAATGAAAGTATTTTTTTTATTATTTTAAACTTTTTTATACCTTTTATTTATTTTACTCTTATTTATCTTTATTAATGAAATAATTATTATTATCACTTAAGTGTATTAAAGTGTTTATTATTTAATAAGACATGTTTATATATTTTTTTACCCACTACCCCTAACTATAATACACTTGTTAGGACACTTAATAACTTGGTCAATAAATCTCTCTCTCTCTCTCTCTCTCTCTCTCTCTCTATATATATATATATATATATATATATACCCCCTCCTTCTAGAATGGACCGAAACATTGCGTGCTTGATTGGAGACCATGAAGTTTGTTTGAAAATCTAAAGTTTCTCGTGCTAGCATGAACTAATTAAGTAAAAGCAGTAGTAGTTATGAATACTATGTTTCATTTGTTAATTTATTGCATAAACGTGAGAAGCTTGGAATTAAGAGAATATCCACAGCAAACAGTGTTTATTGGTGCTGATACGAGAAAGAGTAGCACCCAAGACATATTCAGATTTATAAACGTCAGTTTCTGATACACAAATTCAGAATGGCAGGTGAGTTAAAACGCACATGCACACGCCTTTATCGTTCTAACATGCGTTTATGCTTTACGTTACGTTACAAATTGGATTCCCTCGTCAATAAATCCCAAAACATTAAAAATTGTCAAGATTTGTTCAAGTTAGGAAACTCATTCAATGCTTATTCCATGGTTTAATTATAACTGTTAGGTGTTATAATATAAACACACACACACGCACTAGTTAAATATGGTGGCAAACCAGCTATACTTTTCACACAAACAGTAATTTGAGTTTTTATAAAGGTGGATTTATAATTTTATATTTGGATATGTGTGATTACATATTTGGGTTTTCGATCATTGTCTTTAACATTACTTTAAGCACAAATGTGAAATGGTGAAAGAGGAAACCCCATGCTTAAATTAAACGTGGGTTTATTTTATTTTATATATTTTTCCTTACATGATATAAGAAAGTACTTAGAAAAACAATTATCTGTTATAAAAAAAAGTCATGTATTAAATAACACTTAAATGGAAATTAAATAATTATATCGGATATAAATGGATTATGAAATGTTACCCATTATGCCAAGAGAAAATGCATGTTTAATTTAGCTTATTTTATAAATGTTTTTGCCTGTAAGAAAGTTTTACAAAAAAATTCTGAAAAGCTTGTGCATTAAATTAATTAGGTCAAAATCAAATCTATTACTTTAAAAATAATTAATCCAAAATAGATTCTATATATTTGCATACAACATGAGGGGCATTTTTTGGGTAATCAAACATCATTTTATATTTTATTCTCTTGATGCTATCCTGCCACTAGACTCAAAACAAAGAAACAGCTGAGTGTCATGTGATCTAATTTTTCCTTTTTCTGGAAGATTTTATTTTATGCGAATCATTTTAGATATTGAATGATCTTTTGTTGCTTTTTTCGTTATAAACATAGGCAAGTATTAATCAGTAATTTAAGATTATTAATTATTAAAAATTAAAATAAATTATTTAATATCTAATAAGTTACTTCATATTAGTTTAAAAGAATAAAAAAATATATAAAGTAGTAACAAAATATTTTTAAAATAAAAAAATGTCACATGAAATTTTTAAACGAAAAATTTTAATTTTTTTAAAAGAAAATAAAAAATATGCACTTATATGTGTTAATTATATACGAAATTTACACTATCACTCAATCATTAATTGTCATAATTATTATTAATTTTATAATAATGAATTATGATTGTCAAATTTTTTACACTAACAATGTACTGAAATTAAACTGATAAATATATTTATACGTTAAACAAGTCATCGCTGCACAATCAACAAAAGTATCATCTGCAATGGCAAACTGTTAGATAGATTGCTAAATGATTAAGTTATCTTTTGATGTGTTCATTGGATACACGTCGGAGGAAAATGAATGAAAATCCAAACACACTGTTAGTCTCTTGAGTATGTGAGTTGGATTTTCATTTTTGTACATTAAATAAAGAATATCAACATCTGTATTGTAAATTAGAGTATTATATCCGACAAATTAAGGATTTAATAGCATTTTTTTTTACGGTTTATATATGTGTATTTTTTATGTTAAAATTATTTAAAATTATTACTTATCATTCTTTTATTACCTTAGATAAAATTTAAGATTTGATGTAAATTTCTATGTTTATATTTATAAAATTTTCTAATAATCTTGTATAAACTTTTAATTTTCTTATAAATATATTATATATAAAATTTATAATACTTAATATATTATTTTAAAAATCTTATAATTTTATTAAATCATGTCATTTTTTTTATCGTTTTTCATCCGACCTAATCTGGATTCGACACAAGTTGTGCACCTGAATGTGATGAATGAGTCAATCATTGAAATATTTTTACATATATAAAAATTTAAATTTAAGATATTACTTAAGCAATAACAAATTGTTTGTCACTTAAACTAACCTCAGACAGTTTAAATCATGTCATTTTAATAAAATAAAAAAATTAGTATATATATTTAAAATAAAATACTTATAACTATCAACTATTTTTTTAATATATAAATCAGAAAATTAATCTCTCAGTAAAACTATATTTGATAAAAATAGCTTATCACTTATAATTAAATCCATAAATTTATAGAATTGTTTAATAAATACAATCTTCATTATATAATATATTAAATTTAATATTTTTAAAATAAATTTAAGTTACTATTTTTTGAAATATTTATATAAATTAGTTAATTATATTAAATTATAAAATAATTTAATTTTATAAGATATTTATATAATTATAAACTTTTACATAAATTTCATACGGTTATTGGTTTTGGTTTTTTTTTTTTAAAAAAAAAAAACTAAGTACACTTAAATTACAGTTACTTATTACCTTTGGGCGACTTTGTTGGTGACACTACTTGCGCAAAAAGAAAGAGGGCCGCAGAGGGAGCTGAATTGAATTTACCATTGTACCCGCAAGGCAACAACCAATGCCGTCCCTCTATAAATACCCCCAACTCAGCATCACAACTTCCCTTACCTTTTCAAAATTCAAGATTGAGACGTTCCTTTTTGTACTACCCCCACCCCACAAGGAAAAAGAAGCAAGGAGTGTAGTGCACAACTGGCCAGGTAAAACCCATCACGTTAAGTGAAGTTGTTGCAGGAGAATAATGTGGTTCATATACGTGTGTGAAGAGGAAGAGAAGGAACTTGGAAGGCAACAAGCCCCTGGTTCATGCCCTTATTGTCGAGCCAAAGTTGAAGCCATGGACGTTGAGATCCAGTCCAAGCTCTGCTTCTTACCCCTTTGCTTCAAGATCAAGAGGAAGTACTTCTGTACTCACTGTGCTCGCCGTTTAGAACTGTATTACTAATACTCTCTTCTTCTTTCTCTCTCCGGGTTAAGTGTTTAATTACAATTACTTGAGGGCTTCATGTGAATATGTAAATCAAGTGCTCTTATTTTTGTTTCTCCTTTTATTTTGTTTTATTTTTTAGGCTGGAAGTTTGATCAAGGATTTGGGTGGTACTTTAGCTGCTTTGTCATAATTGGTCATTGATGTACTTGGAAATGGAAAGTTTTCTCTCTCTTTCTCTCTCTCTCTCTTTCTGTTTGCGCTAGTTCAATGCAAAAGCTTCAATCTTTCGTGAGTTTTTTTTTTTTTTTTTGCTTATTCAATTTTGAAAATCAATTGAATTACCATAGTCAACCGGCACTACGAGTACTAGATTGTTGATGGGTTATGAGTATTTTGTCTCTCTTTTCATTTTCCTGGTTATAATTCTCTTCTTGTTTGTGGTTCATGGTACAAGCCACTCTGTGTATGTGTAACCGTCAAATCCATAGGCCCCAGTTAGCACTTTTGAGATGGCGTTTTGTCTGAAGCTTCAATTATGATTCAGTTTGAAATTAAAGCTTCTTGTGCAACTGATTCAGAGAGACCTTATCAACCTGTATCTTAAAATGTTGAATTTTTAAAATTCAATAATAATAAAAATACCATATATAGCCTTCGTCCTTCTTTGCTTGCTTTCTTTTGTCATTCTTCTCTCTTATTGTTCCCACTTTTTTCTGTCTTTCTTGGTTTGTTTTTTTTTTATGAACCAATTCTTGTGAAAGTGCTTCCAACATAATGGTTCATCATGAGCATCTCGGTCGTCCGCAATTTAAAGTAGTACAGGATTTTCATCCTTCAAAAATTTAGTTTTATGATAAAATATTAAAAATGAATGTCTTATAAAATTCTTGGACAATCTTGGTCCATTTTCTGAGATTCAACACTGTCCCTTATGCTTCTCTAGACAGCCTTTTGGTTTTGCATAACAGATAGGGATTTGGACTTATTATAATATAATAAAACACAAAAAGCGACAGCCATTTATTTTGAGTTTTTAGCTTGTAGTTTGTACAATGATCTATCCGTATTTTTATTCTGCATATCTATTCTTATCCTTGTTCCCCTTAATTTAATGGTCCCCCACTGAGCCTGTCCACGTAAGCACGATTAGTATATTAAAATTATTATAATTTTGAAAAGCGCTTAAGAATAATAATCAAAGTAATAATTGATGTAATCGTCATTTATTGCACTGATTAACAAGTTTCATTCTTAAATAGTAGTTGACGTGCGGTTCGAATAAAATTACCTTTCATAAAAAATAATATGCACGTTAAAAGAACAGTAATTTCCAATTTATACTGTTGAAAACCTACGAACATCCTTGTAGTGTCGCCACGTTATTATTCGACTCATAAAACCAGTGATTGTGTTACATTATTCTGATGCCGGGACAGCTAATTTAATAAGGTTTATAGATACTACTTATAAGAAAAATATATGTTCATGGCCATATACGATTAGTACAAGAAATATACGTGTGATCAGTATTGTTTGGAGTGGGTTTGAGGGGAAGGACTGAACAGCGGAAAAAGACACACGAGCATAGGTTATTGGTTGCCAGATATGCAGCTTTGTCTTCTCATGCAATATTTTTTTTTCTTGGTAAATATTTCTCTGTGTAATGCTATATGAAATAATAATGAATATGCAGTTCGTCCTTGATTAATGCTAGTACTCCACGTTTTAAAACTCGATTTGAATAAAGCCATCTCCATAGGTATGTATTTTGAAGTGTCAAATTAACAAATAAGAGTGAATAAATGAACATTTTGAAATATATAATTACATGCTTTAAGAATGGGTCATGTAGTGGGAAGCAATAAGGGAAATGAGTACTTTATACACGGCTTTAGAACAATACATGCAATGAGCTCAATTTTGCGTAAGTTAAAATTAAGTGGCCCTCTTGAAACAATACATGCAATGTGCACTTGCAAGAGCGATTAAATTGATGAATTTGCCATTATGTGCCCACTGAAAGAAAAAAGACTTAGTTATTATGGTTAGCGGTTTGGCTGAAGTTCGGTTGTTGATTGTGTTTGGCTTTTTCACAGGTGAGTGGATGATTGAAGCATGTTGTGTCAGTTGAGAGTACGTTTATAGATATAGTCAAATAAAAACAAAGGGGTTTGAAAAAGTGAGCCAGATGCAGATGCCCAACACATGCAACTGAGAAATTGTACCCAGGTGAAAGCTGATTAGTCCTCTCTCTCTTTACCTAACTGGCCACGCAGGCCTCGGCATGGTGCATTCTGAATCAGCTCGTTCCGTTGCCATCGCCACCACAATAATAGAAATTTGGAACTTCATATTTGATAAGCTTTTGCTTGCACATGCAGCCACCAGTGTAAAAATGGACCCAGCAACCGTATGTTTTGTTTTGTGATATGTGAGTTTCACAAACAACAAATGACATCAGTACACATACTTTAAAATATTTTCTATCTTTCATTTTCTTTGTATCTCTCATTTATATTATATTTTTCAATCTTTCTGGGTCTCACTATGTATATATACCTAACGAGTCCATGGATAACATTTTTCTCTGACAAAAGTAAGATTTTCTCTAGATTGTTAAGTGTGTCTTCAAATTTGGGCTATTAAAAAAATCTAATGTACTGATCTTACAATAGTTGGAGATCAAGTCTCTTTAGAAATATGATAGCTTATTAGCGTTGAAATAAATGTTAATCTAGTGGCATCTTAAAGTAAAATTAAATACGCTATAAAATATATTTGACAATTCAAACTTCTGAAATAAGTTATATTACTTTTTCAAATATTTACTTAGTAAAGAGAATAGACTCTAGGAGAATTTTTTTTTAAAAAGTTGAATTTTAATAAATACAAATAATATAACAATACTAATGTTATAATAGCATTCTAAATTATATTTATTAACCTTTTATGGTATATATGTTTGTGGTCTTTTTTAATAAGCTTTGCTATAAATTAAATTTTTGAATATTTTTTGAGTTATGTCAAACTTTTAAAATGATTCAATAAACATCAAACGCATTTTATATTAAATAAATTTGTTAAATTTAGACATTTAATATGAGATATTTTTTTAATCTATTATAGTGTTAAAAATTTTAACTCTCAGAGAAAAAGGATATATATTTTTAAGAAAAATATTGATTAAAAGTAATATTAATATTAATATATATATAACATTGATGTTGGTTGAATTGTCATTTTTTCTTTCTTTCTCTCTTTCTCTCTCACCAAACTTTATAAATGAACTATTTATTTGATTTTTCTTCAGTAAAATTCCTCACATTCAATTTTTTGAACAAAACAGTGTTTTAGGGTCTAATTGGTTAACTTTTGAAAATAAAAAGGCTTTATAATTTTAAAAACTTTTTAGAAAATAAAAAATATTTAGTTTATGACATACAAAACACTAAAACAGTTTGTTATTTTTGTCATCTGATTATTGTAACTTTTTCTAACACGTTTTATACTAATAAAAAACTCTTTAATAAAAGAAATACAATCAATCCTCAATTTATTAAAATAATATAAAAATGTAACGCATGTCTAACTTCGCATCTAGATTTTCACGACACTTGTCTAAACGCGGACCTGGTTTCCATGCAGTCATTTTTTCTGTATTCATTCCTGCATTAACGATGGTATAAAAGGTTGACTGCAAGGGATTCATGTTCTAAGTAATTTCAATGCGACAACTGAACATGTTGAAATATTTATACGTCTATTTTAGTACATAACTGAACATTTCGCCTTAACTGAAAAAACGAAAATTATAAAAGCTATAACCCAGATTCTCTCATTAAGATACACGGATATCCACAAAATGCATAAGATTGAAAGAAAAAGAATGAAAGTTGCTTTCACTGGTTGCTTTCGATGATTAGGCATTTACAGTTGGCATCACTACTCTGCCGTAAAGTAGATGCGGGATTCGGTTTGGCTACTATTTACAGCTACAAAAACTGCACACTTTTAAAACTTTGTCAAGCCTTGCTCTTCGTTTTCCCATTTATGCATACATTGTGAAAATGTGGAGTGATGGAAAGTGACCCTTTAACACAATCAGGAATACAGATATTCCCTGACAAGCTCTTGCTTTGATTTGGTAGATTAAGTTGAAGAAATAGTTACATACTCCATTCATTTTTAATTTTAAGTGTTTTCAGATCACTTATCTTCAATATTATCGCCTTTATTTCTAATGTAGATGTATGTGTTTACACACTAACTTGCTACAATTCAATACATGTGTTTACACAGTAAGGCTAAAAATCAGATATAGTAAACCGCAAATATTTATAGCTATTTGTTAAATGAGTTTGTCTTACTATTTTACAATTACTTTAAAATGTTGTTTAAAATAACATTCAAACTTAAAACTTTACTTTTTTATTCTTTTAAATTTTTTTATCAAAAAAATTATCTTTACACCCATGACGTTGTTTTATTTTCACTAGTTAGTTCAAAAATAGCGGCTAGTTTTATTAGATTTTTTTATTAAATAAATTAATATTTTCTACTAAAGTTTTGTAGTACAAAATTTTTTTATACGAAAGTTATATGGACAAAATTCAAGCGTATTTTAAATTGTTCTTAATATTATTTTTAATTAAAAATAAAAAATCGTTTCAGTAATAGCTAAACAATTTTAATTAAAATTTGTTCATTTTATACATATAGCCATTAATTGACCTTAATTTCTGTCAAAGTTCTTATATTTATTTTTTAAGTTGTTTTTATCCATCCAATAACGTGTAAACAAGTGAATTTATAATGTATTCGTATGAAACAGTTTCGTATGCTCCTTTTTCTAAAGAAATACATGGCTAAGTATAAAGGAATTTATGTTTTAGCATTTAAAAAACGTTTCAAATAAATAAATAAAATGTGATTATTTTTGTTATCTAATTTAATTAAAATTCACTGCCTTTTGACAATGAATTAAATTTTTAAAAATAAACCATTTCATTATTTTTATTAAAAAATAATTCTTATCAATCAAATCATTAATTCTTATAATATCATCATTTTCGTATATAAAATTGTAAATGACTCAAATATTTATAAATATGTAATTTAATAATGATTTATCAGTTATGAAAATGTAATAAAACAGTGAAATATTAATTATTAGTTAAATTGTATAAAATTCCGTACATTTAATCGATTTTATACAAAAACTTCACATTGAATGATTAGATTAATAAATATAGTTTTTAATGTATATTATTAAATTAAATAACTGATATGAATTTATGTTGGTTTTTTTTATAATATTGACACTGTTTACAAATTTCATAAAGAGAATAAAAAACTATGTGCTTCTTTTTTTAGTTATAAATTTTATATGTTAAATGTAAATCTTATATTTAGATCAGACTAATTTTACGAGTTATATTATATATAAATGTTTTTTTTTTAAATGTGTTATACCACGTGACTTCTATTATATTAAATATTAAGTTTTTTATTTTAATTTTTTTTTTAATTTATCTCTTTAACTAAGTTCTATTTGAAAAATAAAACATTTATTATTAATAATAAATTCATATTTTCATCACTTACAGCTTACTAAATTTAAAAAAAATGATAGCGTATCTTTAATTTTTAAAAAATTATTTTAACAATAGATTATAATATAAAATTTGATAGTATTTATATTTAATGACCAATTCCTTCACTAACAACATATTTATGGTTGTAAATTTTCATTGTAATATTTAACATATGCAAAATTAAATTAAAATTTTAACCTACTATAAATTTTACATATTAAATTTAAAAATGTTTTTCTAATAAAAATAGCATTTTTATTCTAAATGATAAATATTTTTTTAGCTCAAATCACAAATAATTTTTAAAGTTCATTCACTTTACGAGTACAAATATTTGTTCATATTAACCAATGACAACGCTTATTAGAAAAGATGGAACGAATAAATATTAGGCTTTGTGCACACATTTCAATGTAGTGATCCCAGTTTCAAATGTAATGGATTTCGCCCATCTAAATTAAAAAGATGTTTAAAATAAAAATACAACAAAATATGTATACTAGAAAAGATGGAATGATTGATTGCATAAAGGTTATAAATCTAATATTTTAAGACTAAACTTTTAATCCAAAACTTAATACGATGACATGTATGAACCTTAAATTGTTAATTCAATTTAACTGGATTTAACAATTTAGAAAATGAAATCATTTAAAATTCTTAAACCTATATAAATTAATAGTAGACTTATGCTTCGCGACCTTTTTGGTTGTTGTTTATATCTAAAATATTTGTTCCAATATATTATACCATAAAAATATTATTTTAACATGTTTTGTTAATATTAACCTTTAAGTCCACGACTATTGTGAATATAAAAAAATATCTCATCATTTAAAAAAAATAAATTAAGTGCCATTTAAAGTTATCAAATGCATTTATCGTATTTTTAAAAAATATATATAATTTAAAAAAAAAACTCTCTAAAATTAGTCACGAATGACAATTATCAAAACATATTATTTTATCCTGTAAAATAAACAATAACAAAAAAAAAATATGATAAAGTCATGTTTTAAATTGCTACAAATATAAATAAGTATATTTTTAGTCGTTTAAATTTTTAACTAGTTTTAGTATTTACAAATAATTTTTTTTAAAAAAAAATTTATAGTGTTTTTTAAAAATATTTTTATCATCACTCAACGGTAACAAATTCATAATTCTATTTGCTACTTACTATTTTAAAATAGCCACTAACACAATATATAATTAGATGCGTATTACCATATTATTAAAAAAGTAATATAAAATATTTTAATTTTTGTTAAAGTTCACGTGAATCAAAATTAATAAAAAAAAATAGAAGACAATTTTTTAATCATATTCATAAAAGCTGAAACATGTTTAAAAACACGATATTTTATTGAAATATATAAAAATTTCAAGAAAAATTAAATCGATTAAACATTTATTAAAATCAATACCTAAAATATTTATATATATATATTTTAAAATATGAACATAAACTAGTCAACTTTAAAAATAGTCAAACAATTAATCATCACATTATTTTTTATAAAATAAACCAGCTTACGATTTCTCCATAAAACACGTGGTATTTTCTTAGGTTAATAAAATGTCCAAAATGTAATTATACGGGTTTCTGGGCCCGTTACCGTTAGTGAAAGGGTTAATGATAAAACCCTAAATCAATTATTAGAAAAGAAAAAAGAAAAAGAGGAAACCCTAAATCAAACCTCTTATGTATCTTGGCCGTGGTGCAGTTGCAGGGTTTAGTGTGGTTCACACAGGACCGCGTAGAAGAATCTAATTCGCATGCTTGCAACTCCATCAACTAACAAAGGAAGCTCTACCCTCTTCGCTTTCACCCCTCGCCAAGTTCTGTTAAACAACCAAACCATGAAGCATAGCGTTGACAATGGAACCCTTAACACGAAACAGGAACCAAAGCTTCTTCTTCACCAATCCATTGCCCATTACTTGCAACGCAGTGGCTTCTCCAAGTCACTCAAAAAGTTTTGCTCCGAAGCGAAAATCGAGGTGGGTGGGTTATATAACTTGACAGTGTTTGACCGACCCTAATCCTGTGCTTGATAAAGCTCATAACTTTTAGTTGTACATAAGATATTGCACAATAGGATTTAACATTAGGCAATGGTTTTCTCTATTTTTCTGTTCTCAAACACTTTTCCCCTGCTTTTTGATATATATGGTGAGTGATTCTTAAATCGTGCTTGTTTTAGGGTCCTGCATTGTGCATTTGATTCATAAATAAAGTGGAAGAGGAAAACCCCATGTTTTAAATTTCAGGAGTGCTAACACAGTAGTATTGGTTAAAATTTATTGAAAACTACAAAATTAATGGTGAGGCACATTAATTTAGGAGTGAAAGCATCATATTGAAGAGTGTGTTATGAAAGAGCACGTTGCTAACATTACTCTTTAAATTTTTGAGCCAAATTGAAAAGGAAAGCTTCTTGCTTGGATAACAAGTTTGCTTTTAGAAATTATTATGTGGTTGTGTAGCAAAATGTTCTGTTTGCTGTGCAGTCACATATTGGCTATAATTGCTCGATGCCCCAATATTTATGTTTTGCTTATCACTGCTGAGTAACAGATGAGACTGCGTTTTCCTTCTCTTGTTTTACATCGTTGCTGCTGGTTGTAATGCAGAAAGATGATTTCGAGGGTTCGTTGGTTGACCTGGAGGAAATGTGCCTAAAGTATTTAGAAATATGGTAAGACTATGAACATTAATTTTGTATTGTTAAGTAGCCATTACACCAGATTGTCAAGATCTTGGAGAAATAATTTTATTATGATTATTGTTTTTTGGACCAGAAATATAAATAAAAGAGATGTCCTTTTGATAATCTCTCATAAGAGGTGCTCTTGTGAAGTTATATTTAAACCATGTCTGCAGCATTCTTAAAAAACATTGATATTTGCGATGGCGTTAAGAATATACTTGTAATTTATAAACCTAGCTTTTGTTTAATTAAAATTAGATCGCTACTGTTAATAATGGTTGTGTTTTACTAGTTATTTCAGCTAGCTTATAGTTTATTTAACTAGCTTATAAGCCTGTTTGACCCAATAATATATGTTTGGTAAATGAGTTTATCTTAATAGTGTATAGTAGCGTTTGAACTTATAGCTTATTATTATTTTTTGTGTTTTACCCTCAATTCCTTAATAGAACCCCTCATTTACTGTCTTCTTTAATACTATACCACTTATTATAATATAATTTGTCTTTTAATGTTCCAACATTTATTTTAGTTATTATATGTTTTATGCTTTTCTTATTTTTAATATAATATTTGATCTTTAATTTTACCAAACACTTCTAATTTGGTAAGCAAACTTACAGCTTTCTGCTTAGTTTTTCAGAATTTAGCTAGCTTGTTAGCTATTTTTGCCAAACATAGCAAATGCTGCAAATCAAACCCTGGTTTACATTAAAGCATGGGAGTTTCTGACGGATAAACACTTCCAGGAAAGTAGTGAGCAATATTTTTTCCCCCTAGATTTTAATAGGATTATCATCTATACATCTCATATTGTAGATCAATTAAGAGAAAAAAGTAGAACTGTGGCCAAGTCTAATATCCTCTCCAACCCTAAAGCATAAAAGAAAGCACAGCCAAACTGCCAATGAAAACTGTAAGATCTTTCTGCTGATTAGTGATTACTATCAGAATGAAACCCTCTTAAAGCAACTGTCTAAAGTCCAAACTCTGAAGCACCATGAAGAAGCCATAAACATAATCATATTTCTTGTGTAGGACATAGTGATACCCCTGAAGATGCTGACATTCTGCTTCATTTGTATACTCTGCTGAATTCTTTAAACTGTACCCTGGCTCCTGTCAGTTGTTGCCTGCGTATCCATGTATCACCAATAGTAATAACTAATAAGAAAGGTTGGACCAATTATTGGAAGAGCATTGTCTCTCTGCTAAATGCTGCTTCACTGATCAGTCTCTGGGCACGAATTATGTCTTGTATCTTTAATCAACATTTCTGTCTTGTTCTTATGTTAATTAAGCTTTTCTTTCTTGTTTTTCATCTCTTTTCAGTGGCAAAGATGCTAAGTCAAATGTCAATGATCAACACGAGCAAGGTAAGCTTTAATATCTGTGAAAAATTTGTCTTTTGTCACAAGGGCTTCCTTGGCACAAAGGTCTTGCCTCGTGACCTGGACATGCTCTCTGCATCTGGGGGCAAGGATGCATACTTGACCCTCCCTGGACACTGTTGTGTGTTGGGTCTCCCCTTTTTGTCACTGCTACTTTCTTTATTTTTCTAAATACTTGATTTTGCTTATCTCATCATGTTATTTCCCAAGCTGTATCACTTAAATCTTTATTTTGGCTCTTCTACTTCCTGCTAGTTGCAGGTGTGCATGCCCAAGACAAAGAAGAGGGTAAATCCAGGGAAAAGAAGAAAAAGAAGAGCAAATTAGTGTCTGAATCTCTTGCTAATGAAAACAATCAATTGGTGTCAGGCACTACTGTTCCAGAAAATAAAGTAAAGGATGGTGTATCTTCAGATGCCAAAGTTATTAATGGTGCTGAGGCGGTGAAGAAATCAAAGTCTAAAATGAAAAAGAAAGACAAGTCAAGTAGTCAAGGGGATGCAACAGAGCAGATTGGAGATCCGAATGAAACTGTTTTAGAAAAGAATCTTGAAGCATCAAACAATGGAAAGACACATGAGGAGAAAAAGGATTCTAAGAAAAGAAAAAGACCAATTTCTGAAGAAAATGGTCAACATGTTGCTGATATAAAGGCAGATGAAGAAACCAAACGCAGAAAAATAGAAAATTTGGATGAGTCTAAAGGAGGAGAGAAGTCAGCAAAAACAGAGGCAAATCTGGGAGGCGATTCAATTTCTAATAAAGAAAATATTGTAGCAAGTGGTCAAGTTAATGGTGATCAGTTACAGAAGACATCTAAGGGCCAAACCAATGGGGACCTGGAGAATGCTGGAGAGAAATCCTCTGTACAGAGGTCTCAGAAGAAACAAAAGGGATCAGGCGAGGTATTCTGTAACTAATATTTATTCTCTGAATATGTGACTTGCTAATAGATAAAGCACTTTGAAATCACACTTCATGTCTTCATACCTATTTTTTTGCTCATTTAACTTGGAACCAATTTTTATATTTTGATGCACTGGTCTCTGCCATCGTGATTGGTTTGAGTTGAGTTTGCCTTTTATCTTTATTTTTAAGGAAAATATGTTCTTTATAAAGATTATAGCAACAACCAATGCTATGAATACTTGAATAGAGTCTAAAACTTAGGTATTGTTCCAGGTTGTGGTTTTTGCTGGTGTCCCTTTAAATGGTATAATTAATCATATAAATTCCTATATGTTTGCCTCAATGTCCTTAGTTCATTTCTACTACCTCACATCTGCCATCTGTCTGTCCTAATTAGGAATTTAGGTTATGTAGTCATATGAATTTAAAATTCATGTTTCGCTTATAAAGCTAAGATTTATGGTGGAATTCATGTCTGTGACAACTGTAATTGCAGCAAAAACCAGTGAAGGCGGCATTTCAGCGTGTACAAGTTGAAAAAGTAGAATTTGCTGATGAGAGGCTTCAGGATAACTCTTATTGGGCAAAGGTGTGATAAATTGATAGTTTTTCACTCTCTTTTTCGTGCATTTGATGGTGTAAATTTTGGCCTTTTTGCATTCTCCAACAACTTTTTGTTGGTGTATCTGTCTGCAGGGTGGTGCTGACAGTGGTTATGGTGCAAAAGCAGAAGAAATTCTTGGCCAAGTTAGAGGAAGGTCTGTTATTTCATATCTGTTATTTTGCTTTCCAATATTTGCACTTATTTGAACTTGTGTTTCTTGCATCTGAAATTATTATTTTAATGACTTTGGCTTGCAAGATTAGTGCTTTTATGTTCAGGCTATAAAATAAATGCACAGTTGGTTGCATTAACTTTATTTTTTTATTGAGTCTATCCAGGGAAAATATATTGTTTAATGAGCAGTTCGAAGTTAGCTTAACTTGCCTTAGAATTTCATGTTATACATTATGTATAGTTGGAGACTTGATTCATTTTTAAACCTTTTTGCCTTATTCAGCTCATAATATAATTTTTTAAAATGTGGACAGTAATGATTTACGCATATTTCTTTGATATACACATTTTATGACTGTCTTTTTGTGTGTTTACATCGAACTTTTTTCCTCGGATACAGGGATTTTCGTCATGAGAAGACCAAGAAGAAACGTGGGACCTATCGGGGAGGACAGATTGATTTACAATCCCACTCAATAAAGTTCAATTATTCTGATGATGACTGACTAGGAAGCATATAAACCCCTCCCCCCTCCTTTTTTGGGTCAACGAAATTTCCTTTCAATGTTTGGTACTGGAGCACTATGCTAAAGCTGGTGTTACCATGATAATTTTGCTTGATTATGTTGTACTGAAACAACTTTTATTCATTTGGACAAATTATTTAAACAGTTTTACCAAACACCTTGTGCTGCCTAATGTTACATCTAGTGAAGCAAAGTACGTAGATTCTGGTGTGGTATGATTTGCAATGTTGCAGTGGAGAGACATTAGCCGCTGGATGCATAAGCTATATTAATTAGATTTTGCTGATTTGTCATGAAGCTGTTAGCAATTTGAAAGTAAAGGATGCGTTAATACGATCCAATGAGTGTCTCTGCTCTGGACTCTATCTCTCAGCATTCACTTTTATGACATTTCCAATATACTCATTAGTAGATTTTTTGTTTTGTAGTTTGAACAATGCAGGTGGTAGTGTTGTTTTGTACTGTTGAGGACTGCGTAGTATTGTTCCCATTATTGCCTTATCCATGTTGCTGAACTGTGCTATGTTAGCTATTGGGGAGTATACTAACATACCAAAAAATATGCATGGTTCTGGCAAACAAAAGGAATGTAGTCAATAAATTTTGAACATAAAAATATTTTTTATGTTTTAAACATTCTGTGAGTATTTTTAAACTAAGCATAATTTTTTTTTAAAATAAAGTATAAGGGATGTATAATTAATTCAAGAGAATTGAGTTTAGAAAGTGTAAAGTAACAACAAACTCTAGTTCAATAGGTTATTTAGAAAACTTTCGATGAGTTGGGAGATTAAGTTAAAGGAAAAATTTAGTATGAAAAAAACTAACTTCAAAGGCTAAGTAAATTAAAATTTGAATTAAACTTGACAAACAAAAATTACAATTAAACTATTTTTTAATGATGAAATCAATTGTTTTGTAAAATAGTTATGATTTTTATTTAAGCACAACTGAAATGAAATATATGAAATGTAAGTTTATTATAACGGATACTTGCAATGACTAAGGGGTGAAATTGGAGAGAGAAATTACAAAGGTTAGATATATTAGATCCACTGTAGAAGAAGGCAGAGAAATATATGAAGATGTAAATCATTAAAGTCTTGATCTTAGCAACTTTCCGAATGAAAGTCTTCGCAAAATCTTTGAATGTTAAAATAGTCACACTTTAAACTGGTTTATATTTCCTGTTATAAATCATATAAGCAAAATGACAAGTATATACACAGTTTTTGTTTCATTTTTGGAAAATGTATACACAGATTTCCCTTTACTAAATATTTTATTTTCATTATGTGTGTCAAGATTCCTTGCCGTGAAAGCTTTGGTCAACAAAGAAACCCCTTTTAATAAATTATGGGGTTAAAGTCGAACAAGAATCAAATTACAAAATTAGCCAAATTCCATAAGCATTTTCTTTTAAAAAAAGAGCAAGAGAGACCCATTATTTGCATTGCTTAGATTTTGTTTGATATTTTACATTAGTTAAATATATGACTAAAATATTATTTATATTTATTTTAACTTGTTCTTTCCTTTTGAATTTAGGAGGAGAGAACGATGTTATAATTCAAGGTAGAGAAAGCCTTTAATACGGGTAAAGTATCGTTCCTTATAACTTCAGCTATTAACAGAGAATTTATTCAAAATATTCTCCATAATAATTTATTAACTTCGGTTTGAATTAAGCCAATTATGCTTCGAATTAATAATACGGATAAGTGTTTAAACTTTACACGTCAATCTTTGTCTGTTACTTGACGTGGAAGACACGTTTCAGGCTCTCTGCATTGACAAAGAACGAGCTTAACTTATTCTTCGTAAGGAGGAAAATTATACATAATAATTTATCTATCATAAAATATTAAGAGTGTTAATTAAATAAAACATTTGATTATAAAATATTATCGATCTAACTTTAATTTTCTTGTTTTTAAATAAACACTTTAAAGATATATTATTGAATGCATGTGAATTAATTGATAGGTATTAAGTATTATTTTAACTTATCAGGTTTGAATATTAATTGATGCAACTGTTTCAATACTTAAAATAAGACTTTATTTGTTAAGATATCAATTGATTTAAAATAAATTATTAAAAAAATATTAAAGGGTAAATTTTATTTTTTAAAAAAGACTTTCGTATGTGAGATGGATCAAACTCAGAGATTATGTTAAAATTGTGAATAATTTTGCATCTTTCAGCATGAGAAATTTGATTTTAAAAAAGTTACACGTTTTGAAAAAAATGTGTACATGTCCTTTGCACACAATTTCAACCTCTCTTTCACTCAATTGCTGTGTGCAGTGGTTAACATGTCAATTCATGTACAAAGCAAATGGAAAGAAGGAGCAAGCACCACTGCTTCTATGCTTCTATGTCTCCACTTGCGAATTTCTTTGGCGACAGTAATCACTGGAAAATTGCATTTTCTCACTTCCCCTTTTGTGAGTGTGTAAGATGGTCAAAGAGATAACACATTCACGTTGATATAACTTTTTCATTTTTTTATTTTAAATCAAGTTTCGCATACTCTAGATGTGAAATTGTTTATTTTTTAAAATCAAATTTCATAAGTGTAAAATTATCAATTTTAACGCATATTATAATCTCTAAGTTTTATCCCTTTTAATATAGTTAATTATTTTCTTTAATGATTTCATGCACGAACACACGCGTGTCACGTCTGTGCTTCGTATGAATGTCACTTTGCCGACAAGAAGAATCTCCATAACGAATGTTTTAATATATTTTAATTGACTGTTATGAAAGTTACTTTATTTTAAAAAAAAAACAATTTAAAAATATTACTACCATTTGTCTTGGCAACAAATTGGCAAAGACTTTGATGACTTTGACATTCCTCAGGGAGGAGTCCAACGTATGTTCACGGCTGCGAACCTGTTCAAGCAGATTGAGAATTAGAAATTAAAAATTAATTTTTTAAAAGTATATATTATTTATTTAAATTAGATAAAATATATTTATCTACCTAAGAATACATCAATATAAAAAAATATCTAATTATAAAAGTGGATTTTTAAATATGGTCACTTATTTAAATATAAATTTTAAAAATTTATACACAATTTTCATAAATATGTTCATAAAGCCTGAGTTTAACTTTTTAAATAATTTAATTTAATTTAATTTTAAACTTATTAATGAGCTAAGTAAAAAATTTAAACAAATATTATTATTTAGTGGGTTAAACTCAAATAATTTATAAATAGTTTAAAAAATATGAAAAAAGTGTTATAACAAGAACATTATTCATCTTCGAAGTATCTTGTAGACTCCCATTCCGAAAAATCAATAAATAATGAAAGAGGAAGAGCTGGAATATTGATGTGTATGTATACATCAATGACTTTGATTCACTGTCTGACAAATTACCATGAATTTTCGGAGGGAGCAATATTCTTGTTAGAATATAGAAAATAGCTTAGTTAATACTCGTCAATGTCTACAAATGCTGGCTGTTTACTGGTAATTGCCTTCTGCGTGGTGTTGCAGTCACATGCTCGACTTCGGATGCAATTGATCAGCAAACTATACTAACTGTGCAATTAAGGAAAAATCTTAAGTACTTAGCTTAGATGCTTTTTCTTTTATGCATCAAAGGGTATGTATTTCAGTGGTAAGTCTCAAAGATAAGTAAATTAAAGTCAGTAGTAAAAACGGTTAATATAAATCTAAAAAAATAAATAATTTGAGAAGCAAGAAGTATTTATTACAATAATTGTAAATTTGAGAAGATATTATATATTTTATTTAGACTGATGATGATAATTTTTTTAATCTTAAAAATTAAATGATATTTATGTTTTTTTTAAATAAATCATTTATTTTATCTATTTATGTAAAATTAACCATGATACTTATTTCATGCATGAAAAAACATATAATGCACTCTTAATTCATAAAGTACCATATGACATACAAAATCTTTTAAATTAGAAAAACTTAAAATATAAGAGCATTTTTATTAATATTTTAAAAATATTTTTTTATTTTTTAAAATAAATTCTAGTATAAATTTGTATTAAATTTTATTTTTAAAAACATAAAATTATTTTTAAAACAGTAATCAAACATAATCTAAATATTTCTTCTCTCATTTAAAAACTCTATAATAAAGATAATTACTATAGAAGTCTTTCCTTTTTTATTTTTTATTTTTTATTCTAAAAAATTAACTTGCAAACAAAGTTTAAGAGATTCAAGTATTATCTATCCTCAAATTTAATTGGCTAACAAAAGTTATGGATAATATCACTTCATTAATTTTTTTAATCTAATACTTTTTATGAAAAATTATTTATCTATTAATTATAAAAGTTTAGGATAACATTATTTATTCTATAACAATTATTTCTTTAACTTAAAATAAAAGAATAATTAATTAATGACAAAGATAAAAATATATAATAGAAAATTAAATAATTTTTTATTAAAAAATTAAACATATTCCTTAATCCTTTTATAAAATATAAAAATATATCATTATGATTTTGTTTATAGTTTAAGTTGGTATTTTGACTAAAATTTTGTAATTCTTTGAAAAGTCTTTTTACTTTTTGATAAGTTTTATGAAAAGTGATACTCAAATAAACATTAATTTTAATAAAAATAAAAGTGACTTTTTTTATAAGTTTTCAAATAAATTACAGCCAAGGAAAAATATGTTTTTTTGTTGTTGTCAAAATGTAAAAATATTTTAAAAAATTCATAATAAATGATTGATCACAAAAGGTAACAGGAATAATAATTAGTGAAAGAATTATGTTTTTGAGTTGTTTTAGAATCATGGATATTATTAATAAATGAAGTTAAAACAATGGTCGAATATCACTTTGTTAGAGAAAGTAGATCAAATTATTTTTGGTGAAACGTTCAAGAAAAATTAAAGATTTCTCTTGAAGACTTAAAGTGTCAAGAATAATTATAAATAGAGAAACATGTTAAAAATCATAAATAAAATGTAATAATGATAAAAAAAAAATTTAGACAATTATATTATATTATATCAATAAATAACATTTCATTTTACTGTATTGTCAATGTTATGACCTGACATTAAAAAAATCAATATTTATTTGCCTTGTTGATTAAAAGTTATACATTTCATTTATTGTAAGATTAGCATGCAATTGTTCTTCTTTTTCCTTGTCTATTTTTATTCTACTCTTTGGATCATATTAATTTAATTATTTTATTAAAAAACACACACATAAAATATATCTAAAACTCAATCATAAATTACTTTTAAGAACGAAGAAAAACCTAGACGCTTAAAGGTTGAGACATTACAGTCTAGAGACAACAAAATAAAAGGCAATGGCTATTGGTAATGCGTAAGAGTC